GACGCCACCGTACTTTAGTGTATGATCACAGTGGGGTTCAAGCTGGGGATTAACGCTTGAAACTATTCCCTACAAACTTAGTTTTATCTTTTTCATAAAATTCTATCTTTTAGTTAAAACGAATTTGACAAAATTGGTTTTCAGATAAAGCAAAATTAAATCTGTTTTGATTTCGATTTTAAAGAAGATAAGATCAGATTTCTGCTTGATTTATCTTGTTTGCGAAAATCCTAGTTTGTGTAGTTGAGAAACTCCTATAAATATAGAAGTACTTCAGCTTAGCAAAATGAGAGTTTTAAGCGTGAAAACCACTTAGTTCTTAAGAGTAAGTTTGCCAAAGGTTTAAGCTTTATCATTTTGATTTCGGGTTTCATGTGTAGTTTTCCATTTATGTGTTAGAGTGTGTCTTTGCGTTGTAATTGGTTTTGGGGTAATATTGTGAATTCTCTTAAATTCACGTTTGAGTGTATGAGTTTGAATTCTCTAAAATTCGAGTGGTAGTCAGTCACCCCGAGTGTGTCTTGGGTTGCACAGTGGGAAAAAGGAACCTGAGTGTGTCTTAGGTCGAGAAAGGAACATGAGTGTGTCTTGGGTCGAAAAAGGTGCATGAGTTTGTCGTAGGTCTGATAGGATAGGTTCTTATCAATTAGCAAGTGTCTTAGGAGGAACTTGCGAAGCAAAGGTCTGTGTAATAGGTTGTACTAGGAGAGTTGTCTTTTATAGTGGAATTTGTTTATAAGTCCCAATAGGGCCGAGGTTTTACTTCCAGTTAGGCACTGGATGGTTTCCTCGTAAAACTTGTTGTGTGCTTTAAGTTTCTTTATGTTTTTATTGTTTATTTCCGCATAAGTTCCGCGATTGGAACCTACTACCATTCACCACCCCTCTCGTAGTAGTTCATCTAAACTAACAGTTACTTGTACTCTGGGGTTACTTGTATGATCTTACTTGTTTTGGTCAGGTGTTATTGGTTTGATATGGGTGTTTGGTACGAGATTGCTTGTAGGTCACTACTACAAAAAAGGCAAAAGAGACCCGTTGTAAATGGCATAAGAGACCTCTTTAGAGGAGGTCTCTAGCTCACAGGTCTCTTTGATAAAGAGACCTGTTCTATTGAACGGGTCTCTTTGAAATAAATAAGAGACCTGTTAACTAAGGTAACAGGTCTCTTTGCATGTAATTACACCATATATTTAAGAAGGGGAAGAGACCTGTTATTTAAGACATCAGGTCTCTTTGATATCAATAAAGAGACCTGTTATCTAAGATAACAGGTCTCTTAAATATATTTATTTTTTTAAAAAAAAAATCGCTGATATATATTTATTATTTTGTAATTACTCTTCTAAAATTAGAAAGAAATTGTAAATTACAAAAAGAAACAATTAATTTGATAAATTTACATAAACTTATATTATTATTGAATGTACTAATATATAGTAACTTAATTACAATGAGTAAGATCTACAGGTATATAAGAACAATACTTTACAAGTATATAAGACATTATGAATAATTTACAAGTATATAAGAACTTATGGATTTACTTCTAAGTTACCAAAACTAACAACATTCCCATCCTTGGTAATTTCTTTAGCCCTCCATTATCAGATTAGCGAGTTTCTCGAATTGCTCATCCTCCTGTAAACCACTAAGGGAATCAATTAAAAAAAATGCACCAAAGCTTATAATTCAAATTAAAAACTAGATTTTAACAACATAAACACAACTTTAACAACTGTATTAGCAACAAATCATCCTCTTCCTGTATAGCTGAATGAATTTAGATTAATTAATTTTGTTATACAATCTAACAACATCAAATTTTTTCATTATGGAAGTCTCATCATCAATAGCAAATCAAGGGGATAAATCACTTTAAACAACATTATATCTTCACAAAAATCAACTCTTAGGCATAAATCAATCATAATATCCAAAATAACCCAGAAAAATCATCAATTTTCAAGCATCTATAGACAATTTTCAAGCAATCAATTGACCCATCAACACCAACATTAATCCTAAACCTCACTTAACACCACCGTAAAAATCTCCTAACCCCTGTACAAAAACCCAATACCATCCCAACCTCGTAGAAACCACCACCAACCCCGTGCTAAACCACCCCCACCCCCACCCCATGAAAACCATCTCGATCCCGTATAAACTACCCTTACCCAGGTAAAACCCTAACAACCCCAACCCGCAACAACCCTTGTATTAAAACAAAAACTACCCCTACCCAGGTAAAACCTATCAACCCACGAAAAAACCGGCCACGTACCCAATCTAACCAAAAACCACCTCCACTAAAACACCTTGTCACCAACTCAAAAACATTTCAAAATATTCAAATTAAAACTAATATGGAAACATACCTTTGCAAATTGTGGCATTTTTTTGGGCGAATTTGACCATAAGACTCTAGATCTAGAGTTTTCTTGATCAAAATTGACATTTAAATCCTCTAACTCGAGTTAAAAGGAGACAACCTAACGCCGATGTAGGACGAGGATGCAATAACGTTGTAGATGAGGCTCGGAGGATTTAATGGCGCAATCAATTGCTCAAGGATAAAAAAAAAAAGAAAATGGAGATGAAAGGAGAAGTGATGAGGGTGAAGGAGAGAGGCGCATAGAAGGGGGATTGAGAAAGAGATGGGGCGTATGAATGATAATGAGAAGGAAAATTTTGATTAAAGAAAAACAAGAAAGGATCGTAGTGGGCTGTGGGCCTTTACACACATAAGAGACCTGTTGAAATATACAACAGGTCTCTTAATTCTCTTACTCTATCTCAAGTAAAAAAGTGGTGGGCCCTCTAGCATTTTAGAGACCTGTTATCACTATTATTAGGTCTCTTATATCAAAGAGACCTGTTCTAGTAACCAACAGGTCTTTTATTATAGGTTTCTTTGGGCTTTTTTTGTAGTAGTGGGTGTTACTTGTATTCAGAATGAGCCCTACAAGTAATCCCAAAATACAAGTAATCTCAAAATACAAGTAACCCATGCCGCACCATGTGTTACTTGCAGGTGTTACTTGTATTATGGGGTTACTTGTAGGGTGTTACTGCATCTGGTCAGGATGTTACTTGTAGGTATTACTTGTATAGTGTATTCCGGGGTTACTTGTATGGTTTTACTGGTTTTGGTTGGGTGTTACTGGTTTGGTATGTGGGTTTGGTCTGGGGTTACTTGTAGGGGTTACTTAGAATGCAAGTAACACCTACAAGTAAACCCAAAATACAAGTAACACCTACAAGTAACCTTTGACAAAACCAATAATACCATACAAGTAACCCCTGCCGCACCATGTGGCCAACCACACTGAAAAACCTCTGTCATTCAATTGTGAAATACATAGATGCTTCTTACCTAACAATAAGAAACTTAAACAAAAAAATGGACAATGCTAGTACTTAGGGACTGTTCTCGTTGACTGAACTCAGCTGAACTGAATTGTACTGAACTGAACTGAGCTGAACTGAACTGAACTGAGCTGAACTAAACTGAATATTTTATAAGAGAAGGAAATTAGGAGCTGAACTGAACTGAATTAAACTAAGCTGAACTGAACTGAACTGAACTGAATTTCAACGTATGAGAACAGGCCCTTAGTGGATAAACATGAGCCATGATTTACTCCACCAAAATAAACTGATTTCTCAATTAGTCTAAGGTGCACCCTTGTGCACCTTAAATAGGTGTAACAACATAGCCCAAAATCCTAATTACACACAACCCAATTAAAAAAAAGCCCTAAAACTAAAAAACACGGAAAGTGCAATACACCCACCCACATCCAATAAATGTAACGTCATTTCCAAACTCAAAAATCTTCTACTTCTATATGATTTTCTCTCTCCTCTTTTTCACTTTCTCTCTCCTCTATTTCATTCTTTCACTAAAAAACTGCAAAAACATCAATGGACATTAGGAAAGAGATGCAAAATCAAAAGGATCCTCCCGCAATTTTATGTAAATTTCACTTAATTTTGTTTGAATTTATATGATTATCACTTAATTTTGTTTGAATATTGTTCGAAATTTATTATTGGAATTGTCAAAAAAATTAGTGAAATCAAACGGATATTTTATGTTCATATTTCGAAATGCATATGTTTATATTTTGAATTCTTATGTTCATATTTTGAATCTGTTTGTAAACTTTCTAAAATTCTTATCTTCACTTTCTAAATCCATATGTTCATATTTTTTTTATGTATATGTTCACCTTCTGAAATGCTTAATTATGTTCATATGCATTCAAATATGAACCAATGCATAGGTTCATATTTTGAATGCATATGTTCATATTTTTAATACTTATGAATTATGATGCATATGTTTCATAATCATATTATTTTTATTTCTTCAATTTTTTATGTTCATAATAAAATGCCTTATATTCATAATAATATTTTATATGTTCATAATGTAAATATTCATAGTAAATATTTGTTGTTCTCATTAAGTCTGTTTATGCATATCTTCTCTCTCTTAAATTCATATGATCATATTTTTTACGCATATGTTCACCTTTTAAATGGTCATATTCACTTTAAGGAAACCAATGCTTACGTTCATATTTTGAATTGTTATGTTTACTTTCTGAAATGCATATGTTCATATGTTTTATGCTTATGTGCACTTTCTGAAAAGTTTATGTTCACATTTAAGGGAACCTATGCATATGTTCATATTTTGCATGATTATCACTAGTAGAAAAAACGTAATGAGAAGCCCCAAATGGCAAGCGGTTATTGAATTCCGCTTCCAATAACACCTAAAAAAAAAATTAAAACAAGCAAATGGCAAACGGATTTTGGGTGAACCGCTTGCCAAAATGTAAATGACAAGCGGTTTGGACATTGAACCGCTTGCCATTTGCTAAAAAACCCTAAAAGCGGGTTCTCTCTCCTCCTCACGCCTCTTCTTCTTCTCTCTCCTCTCTTATTTCTCACGCTCGTTTCTCTCTCCTCTCTTCCTGCTCACGCTCTCTCTTCTTCTTTCTCCTCTTCCCTCATTTCATCCCCTCCATTCTCGATCTCCTTCATTTCTCTCTCCTCCTTTATTTCTCATGGCGAATTTTTGTATTTACAACATGAATTCCTTCTTTTCGAGCTCCTCTTCCTCGGCCCACAAAAATGGTGAGTCCTTTTTTTCTTTCTTTTCGATCTCCTCTACCGCCCGCAACACCAACAACGGCCACCGCCCGCAACACCAACAACAGCCACCGCCCACAACACCAACAACAACAACTTCGACAAGCTTTGTTCTCGGTCTCACGAACTTCGGTTTTCACGGTTTTTCATGTCAAATTCGACCCTGAAAACTCTAGATCTAGAGTTTTCATGGTCGAATTCGACAATTAAAACCTAAATTTTAAGCCAATTTCAAGGTTTTGGTGGAATTCAAGGTATCATCTGTTTTTTTTATTTTTTATTTTGTTTTTTTAAGTAATTTTTGGTAGTTTTTTTTTTTTAATTTTGTGATGACGTTTAGGTCGTGGTGGCCTAGGGGATGAGGTTTTTTTTGTTTTCTTTTATATTTTCTGGAAATTTGTGTTTGATTGACTTCGAATTTGTTTATATTAGTTGATTTGTTGAATATTTTTGTTGAATTTGGTATTGATTGTGATTTATTTTAGTGAAATTGATTTTCTAGGGTGAAAAAACGTAAATCTAAAGCTGATTTCAAGGAAGGCGGTCAAAGGCTGGTGGCAGTGCGTGCGTGGTGGGCTGGTGGTGGTGGTTGTGATGGTTATGGTGGTGGACTGGTGGCGGTGGTGGCAGTGACTTTTTTCTAAAAGTGTTTATTAGTTTTCTTTTTTGTTGAATTATAATGTAATTTTTTTTTTTGTGTTGAATTATAATATAATTTTTTTTTAGGAAGAATTATAATGTAATATTACAAATAATTATGGAAATATATATTTTTATACATATGTTTTATTTTTGTGTATCAATTTCTGTGAAAAAAATTAAAACTTTTTTTTCTAAAAAAATTTTTAAGCCAAAACCGTTGCCCTTTCACTACAAATGGCAAGCGGTTCTAAACCGCGTGCCATTTAAAAGCCCAAATGGCAAGCCCCCTAAGGGCATGCGTTTCAAAACCGCTTCCCATTAGGGGGTTTGAACCGCTTGTCATTATGTTTTTTCTACTAGTGTATGTTCATTGATAAAAAAATGCAGAAAATCAAATGAAATTCATACACAAATGAAATTGATCGAAGCTAAAAAAAATTCAATTCATATGAATTCAAAAAATCAGATAAACAACCAATTCCATATTGTAAGTAACATATTCAATCGTTAAATAAAAAATAACGAGAAAAAATAGAAAAAAAACAGAGGAAAAAGGAATTAAAGAAGGAAGGAGAAAAAATAGAGTATAACTTGTGAATTCAAAGATTCATATATACCTTAATCAATCAAAATTAAAGCACAAAATCGAAATTCACACAAAAATTCATACTTAATAACTACTTTCATGTTGTAAGAAACAAATTCAATCAAAAAAGTGTAAAAAAAGGAGGAAAATTTAAAAAACAGAGGACAGAGAAAATAAAAAATGAAGGAGAAAAATAAAGGAGAAGAAACCTAATGTTCACTTTCTGAAAAGCTAATGTTCATATTGTGCTATTGTTACACCTATTTCTAGGTGCATGAGTGTGCACCTAATAATATGTACTGATTTCTAATACTCCTTAAAAATCTAATACGTACTTTATTAGAGGAGATTAATATGGCCCTAAAGCACTAACAACCTAATATCTATTAATTCCTAACTTTTAAGAACATAAAAAAACTTAATTACAAATAATTTTGAAGGAATAATATCAACACCTACTTGAAATTTTACACTTTATATTTAACAACGCATAATATAAGATATTGAAAATAAAATTGGGTTTACAAATTTGGTCAAAGAAACTCAATCAATAAGAAGCTAAAGTAAGGTTGATTGTACTCCATAATTTAGAAGAAAATACATATCACTAAAAATAAATTATATTTAAATATTATCATTCAATATAAAAAAATTTTGTCAGGGGAGAAAAATTAACGTTATTATGTGATAGGTAAGAACTTGATATCTGATAATTTTTGTACAAATTATACAAGTATTAATTTTAACTAACGTTTTCATGTATTGAGCAATAATGTTACTAGACCTAGCAAATGGGTCATTCAGGTCGGATATGGGTCGGATCATTTCGAGTCAAAAGGTTATCGGGTCAAGTTCGGGTCGGATTGGGTCATTTTGGGTTCAGGTTGATTTCGGTTCGACTGATAATCGGGTCGGGTCGGGTATTGAGTCAACACTTCGGACGAGTTTGGGTCGGGTCAGTTTTCGAGTCGGGTCAGTTCGGGTCGGGTCAATTTTCCGGTTAACTTCGGGTCGGGTCAACTTCGAGTCGAGTCATATTCGGGTGATTCATTGGGTTAAATTCAACTCTGTATATATATTTATTTATTTATTGACGAAAAACTCACTATATTTATTAAGGCTATTTTTTTCATGGAATATAGTAATTGTTTGACTTATATTAACCTCTTTTTTTTTTTTTTTTTTGTGTGTGTGTGTGTGTGTGTTTAGATTGAGAATCATTTTCAAGATCTCCTGAAACTAAGAGGGATGCTCTAACTAATTGAGTTATACCTCACTCTCTTACTGATCTTAGTTTTAATACGTACTCTTATTATAATTGTCATTGTTGTATTAATTTCTTTGAATTATTCTTATACTCTCTCCATCCCAAATTACTCTTAACGATTTGACATTTTGCACTATTTACACATCTCACTTTGACCGTCTTTTTAGCTATTATATAAAAGTCAATGTAGTCATGTAAGATGTTGTTGGGTCTATTTTAATGTATAATTTCCTAATATAAACTTTTATAACTTATACAATAATTTACTAAAAGAAGTTAAAGGTCGGGTCATTTTCGGGTCGGGTCAACTTTGGGTCGGGTCATTTCGGGTCTCGGGTCATCTCGGGTTTTGGGTCAAGGTCGGGTCAGTTCCACTTCGGGTCGGGTCGGGTCGGGTTACTTCAGGTTTTGGGTTAATTTCGGGTCATTGATTTCGGGTCGATTCGGGTCATCGGGTCTCGATCAAGATTGTCAGGTCTAAATGTTACTAATTAATCTATCATATTTTATTTCAATGGTCAAGTGTTCAATGGCCACTTTGAATGTATTAGTATCAAATCATAATTAGCATGACTATTTAGCTTGAGACTAATCCATAATAATGTTGGAATGTAGGAAGATCCCACACTTTAAAAGTTCACTGTTCAATTATTCATGATGGTGTTTCTGTTACTATTAATTTTATTATACACAAAATTGAAATTCTAACCAGTTTTAACATGAGGAAAGTTAATAGTGTATGATTATTTTATGGTAATGACCACTCAAATTGTTGAAATAGTTTGCATTATTAGGTCCCTCCAACAAACTGGTATAGATGTCAACAAGATTTGATGTAAACGAGATTTGATCCTCACCTTTAAGACTTTTAACCAATAACACGGTAGTTAACATTAACGTTTGTACGTAAAAGTATGTAGTGCATCACACCCTTTTGCTCTACAATGCCAAATACTCTCTACTAGCTAAAGAGTAACTTCTTAAAAAAGAAAGACACCCAACTAATGCCATAAGTGGAATTTGCTTAAAATTTACTCCAACAGCTTATGATCAATTCATACATATATCAAAAAATAAACCAAAATTATTCTACAAAGATAACAAAAATTATATGCTAAGGTTTGCTTGTTTTTTTTTTCAGCAATCAATGGAAATGCAGCTCTGAGCAATACTCTTACTGTCCACCTTGCTGACGAACGGATCGATTTTGACCCAAACAAGGGAGAAAACTGAGGCCAACAGCACAGACCACAACACCACAATAGTAGGTGTCCTGTTTTGCTTTCCCATGAGACCCTTAAGGAAGGGGTACAGATGCAGGATCACCCAGAAGGAAAAGAAGACCTTTCCGAAGAGTGGTCCCCACGAATCATAGCCGTTGTTCAAGGCATCAGAAAACCCTGCCACCACCCCGACGATGTTGAGGATGATGAGGGTGGTGGGAGGGATAAGAAGGGTAGTCCACTTGAAAACATAGAGTTCTCCAAATTCAGTGTCATCAGATGATTTCGACGTGACAGTAAAGTTGGTGTCTAGTCCTGCAAGCATCTTCAGCAGTCCTTGGAAGACAGCAAACAGGTGAGCTGAGACTCCTCCAATGACCCAGAACTGCTCGTTCCTCCACAAGTCCTCAATGCCTACTCCACTCCATCTTAGTTCTAACACACTGACGAGTATGATGGACGTGAAGAGGCCTAAGAAGAGCACACTTGCCAGGTTTGATAGCTGTAAATCAGAAGAACAATGTCAAGTTTACATACTGATAATGTAATTCATCAGTGCTATAACTTTCTTAGTTTCTTAGACAATTTTCACAAGAATGAATTAAGCTAGTTGCTGAAATTCCAAAAATACTACTGCATTATCTGATGATGTAAAGGAAACTTACAGTAGGAATTATGAACTTTCCGGTGAGGAGGCAGATAGCAGGCAATGTACAGTAGGCAACAAGAGGCAGGGAAGTAAAGGGGTAAACGATGGTATTAATGTATGCCAATCTCTGAAGCAACTTAAGGCGGCCAGCTCCAAATCCATACCAAAGAGGACAATGTCTGCTAAAGAAAATTTCCACTGATCCAAGAGCCCAACGAAGGACCTGGTGCAGTCTATCAGACAAGTTAATTGGTGCAGACCCTTTAAAGCAAGGCCTTAAGGGCATACAGTATATTGATCTCCATCCTCGGCATTGCATCTTGAACCCTGTCAAGATATCTTCTGTAATAGATCCATATATCCATCCAATCTGTCAAAATGGAAAGAAAAGGCGGTCAATGAGAAAGGGCTAGTAAAACATGATATACTTCATGGTATTTTTAATAAATTCAAAAGACTGCTAAAAGGTTGAAGTTTTTATTAGTTTGTATAATGTTGTTACAAAGTTGTTTTACCTCTTTTCCCCAGGCTGTCTTTTCTTCATACCCACAGCTAATGACATGTATCGCTTCCTTGATCAATGTTGGCGAGTTAGCAGAGTCTGGAACACCTCCATTCTCCATCAATGTAGACTCGATGAACACAGTGGATAATCCAAATGTCTTCTCAAAGCTTGTTTGAGAGATTAACATTGATCTATCATATTCATCATAATCTGTAGTATTATTTAGAATAGTTAGTGTTAATCCTGATGGTTATTTTTTTCCTGACATTCTTGATATATAAATAACTACAGGTATAAGTAAGCTTACTGTTGAGCTCCTTGAGGTTAAATATGGCAGATTCTAGATCTTCACGTTTTGAATCACGGTTAAGCTCTGAGACATCCTTTTCTTCCTTCTTCTTGGAAGGGCAGCAACAACAGGAAGACGAGGATGATTTGGATAAACTAGGTAGTGATGGTGGTCCATAGCCATATAGTGCTTGTCTATTGAACACACAACCAGTTCCGACATAAACTGGCCCTTGAATCCCATCAAGTCCTTTCATGTTAACCTGAACGAGTTCAAGGAATCAAGGACAGGAAAACGAAGAGAGTAACATCAACTTTTTCCTAATTATGAATTCCCTACATATCTTATTTTTCACAATGCCATTGAGTAGTGCAAATTACTTCCATAATATGCATAAAGTTTATTTAAAATTTTGTAATAGTAATATTTTTTAAAAAATAGTGCAGCTTACATCAAAGAAGACAACATTTCGGTTGGCATAACGATCACTCTTGTCAATACCATCAAATCTTTGAGGGAACTGAACATAACAAACATCCTGACCGACTACAGGGTCCATCAGGAAGCACATTGCCTCGCGAACTGCCTTGCTGTTGTTGACATAATGATCACAATCAAGGTTCAGAATGTAGGGAGCATTTGTGAGGACTGCAGATACTCTGATCTGTGATAGAAAAATAGTTTATGTAAAATGTCAGAAGTAGTATCTTAAAGGTGGAATTTAAGTTGATTCTTGTTTGATTAGGTTGAGGATAGTTACCAAAGCATTCTCAGCACCGGCTTTCTTGTGGTGTTGAAATCCTGGCCTCTTTTCTCTTGAAACATATACGAGCCTTGGAAGTTCGTTACCTTCTATGTCAGGAGAACCAGTATTTCCAAGGAAAACCTACAAAATTCCGAATTGGTAAATGAATATGTAAGATATATATAGAATCAGACTAGAATTTGCAGGTAAATGAATATTGCTTCAGACTGCCACAGAATTACTGATAGAGTATAAAACATATTCTTGGGCCTCAACCATCAGCTTAAGCTTTTGGTTGAGTTGGTCCACTAACATATGTAAGATATATACAAGTTTCTTGTTTCATACAGAGCTGATCTAAATGGCCAGGTCCGCCCTGATATCCTAGGTTCGGGCAGATTTTTTAGCCACAACATTAGACATGACATGAGGCAGAAATTTAGGCTCAAATTTACAGTTTGCCTGAACATATGATCAACTCTAGTTACATCTTAAAGACAAAAACAAAGATGTAACAATACACACCTGGATCATTCCTGGATGATCACGAGTATTGTTTCCTGGCCAAGGTGTTCCATCTGCCATAGTCCAGCCTTCGTCTGGGGTTTTTTGTGCCTTGGCAACTAAAGCATTCATCTTCACCTTGTATTCCTCATAATCTCTCTGTCATATAAAAATTAAACATCATAAGATCGCCTTTACAAATCATTATAAAAACAGACATTACATATTTTAGTCACATGAGTTGCATACTTTCATTGCTCTGCGTTCCTTCACAAAAGAAGGCTGCACTTTGTCCCTAAGGTAGTCAATCTTCTGTGAGAAGTAAAACTCAGGAGCTCGCGGTTCAATCTCATATTTCTTACAAAAAGGAACCCACTTCCTCGCGAATTCAGAAGTCTCAGCAAGTGATTCAAAGGTAAGCATTGCAGCACCATCATCAGATACATAGCAGGAGACTTTATCAACAGGATAGTCCACTGCAAGGATGGAAAGTACAGTATTTGCTGTGATTATAGGCGGTTCTTTCAATGGATCCACCGTACTCACAAAGAAGTCCACAGCTGCAAGCTGTGAAGGTTCTCCTTCTCTTTCGTACCTGAACAAATTAAAAATGATTATTATACTCAAATTACATTGATTTTCCTTCATATCTTAATTGTCTTTCCATACATTAGCAACTAGATTGATATGAAAATTATACGAAGTATGAACTCATGACTCGTTACAACTACAAGGATTCCTTGCATATTCCTCTGCTCCATAATAATCATTTTCTTTAATATTTTATCCAAACATGTTACAGTAATACAAGTAATTAATATGCAAAAAAGCACATTGATTGATAGCAAATGTAACATTAATATAACTTCATAAGATTATCATTATATAATTTTACTTTAATACAAAAGTAATGATTGAACTATTGGTTTCAAGGATGCAAAAAAGTAAACTGGATCCCTCTCATCATGAGTCCCAAATAGCATATAAACTACATTGAAGTAATACAAATCAATAGTTTGTCAATGTATTCATATGAAAATTCCATATTATAGACAAACAGCAGGGTTATGGTTTCAAATGATGCATCAAATAGCCTAAAGACTACGTATTATACAACAAAATCATCACGATATTGTTAACATAAAAGGTTACCTCAAGGACAACTGATCGATAAATGTCTCCCTATTGATGGGCTGCCATTTAGGAAACTGATCCAAAACCCAGGAAAAAGCAAACCAGATCTCACAGATAACAGAAGTGAGCCATAGACCAAAGGCGCTATCCACAGGATTAGTTAATCTGTAGTGGAAAAATAGTGCAAGAATGATCAACCGCACAATGATCATGATCCTGTATGAGGTGATCTTGGTTCTTGGGATCGGAATAATTCTTGAAAGTGGTTGTGCAGCAGCCTCTGAAAACCTGAAACAGCGGCACACATCTGAGAACTATGGATTCCTTTTTCTCTATTCAACACGCCTACAAAATCAATTTCCTGGTTTTCGAATACTTGGGTTCCAAAAGCATTTCATTAAGAAATTTGTTAAGGATGTAATTCAACAAATTTAAGTTAATTTGGTCCAATAAATGTTTCTTTTCTTCTTTAATGTACTTAATTGCAAAATGTTATTCTCAATTCTTATCTGAAAAACTCACTGCTGTTCCTCCATCTGTTGTTCAGGTGGAATTTGTTCAACTTCTTTTGAAGCTTTAGACTCTTTAACATTCTTTTTTTTCTTGTCTTTCCTTTCTCTCCAACTCTCCACTCGATGCTTCCATATCGAGCTTCCAGATTCACTATTCAATTCTGATAAAGTAGACATAACACATAATTGATTTATTAGTTATGCAACCACTAACACAAAAAAAGTTGGAAATAAACTTCATACAAGGTTAGAAATGCTCACCACTATCAACTGTGGAGATGGTGCTCATGTTTCGAGCATGTAGGCCATGATCCTGTTACGAATTCAACCAAGATAAATCAATCAATACATAACATAAGACAAGTTTAATAAACTTTATCGTGAAATTTACAACTTTGGCTAACCATTTTAATACCTGCTCATTAGTAAGATGGGTTGTTTTGTTCTTGTGACTACCAGATGCCTCAACACCGGCCTCATCATATGTCACATTATCTAATGATTCATTCGACATAAGTTAGAATCTAGCAATACTACACAAATTGAACTTCAAACATATTTGCATAAAATTATTATGATTCAACACGAAAAAAAATGATTAGGACTAATGAGAAAGAGATCATGTGACACACCTTCATAGGGAGCAGCACAACGAAAGCAAGCCTTTTTACCTTCCTTAATCTCATAGTCAACACAAGCCTTACAAACAGGGTAATTGCATTCAAGGCAAGCCACAAACACATTTCCATTCGAATCAAGTCCTACTGGCTCGCCGCAAGTGTTGCACTGTGGAAGGCCAGATTGCATCATCTTTGACTGCTTTTCTTTCTTTCTCTACCAATAAACCCGAGTTTAGCTAAGTCTTTATATTAGATGAAGATGATCATCACTCATTGTTCAGAAGCAAAGGCGGTGTAGAGAGGATTTTGTATGGGAGAGTTTGGTAGGAGAGTTAGTTTGGTGCCAATTTCTTAAGTGAATAAAAGAGGAAAGAGAGATGAGAAGCAACGTCTTAGTAAGTTTGAAAAATTGCGGGAGTTTTAAGGAAGATGTTTCTGTTGTCAAGTGTACATCTTTTAACTAATCAACTACTTTTTGAAAAGGTACAACTCAGCTATATCTTATTATTTTTTCCTATAATTTCTTACCTAATTAATGTATAAACTATAAACTATTCTGATTAATTGATTTTAAGTAAATATTTTTATGTCATTTCTTTGGAAAATAATACTCCAAAGATGAAAATAAAAGGATTTCAAATTACTATGTATCAAATATTGATAATAGCATCGATCACACGGTCAATGTATGATTTTGTCATAAATTCCTATATAAAATTACTATCATATAAATCATTAATTCTAAGCACTAAATATAGTACAACCAATAAAGTTTTATGGGATTTGTGTATTATACTACTCCTTGTATCCCCGAAAGAACGATCCTTTTTGGGTTGATTTTCGGGTATTAAGAAAGTTAAATAAAAAAATAAAAGCATATTGGAAAAAGTAAAAGTATGGGGTTTGTAAAAAAAGTAGGGAAAGAATGTATTAAAAGTACATGAAAAAACAAAATTTTATATGGAAAAACTAATTTTGCACAAATATTGTTGTAAATTGGTAGGTATTTTAATGCAAATGGGTCGATCATTCTGAAACTAAAATTAGGCCAAAAGGGAGTACTAAACACTTTATTCAATTTTAGCTATTTAGTTATAATCAAATTTATGTCAATATTGATGAGCATTAATGAGGTCACTATACTACTATAGTGTGGAATTAAAAATATCTAGATGAGTATTACAGATTTACAGGAATGATATCAATAGGGGCATTGATAGTCCGTTTTGATTTTATTTGAACTTTGATTGTGACATCAGAACTTAATTTTGTAGCTTGAGAAGTGAGCTTAAATACGAAGTGCAATTTATGCGTCTTAAGGTACTCGTCTCATCTTTTTTGACGTCTTAATTTATTTACTCTATTACTTTTACGGTATTTTATTCACACGCACTTTTTCATCTAAAATACGCTATACTTTTTCAATTTTCACACTAAATTGTGTTATTTGAACCATACACATATCATACACTATATGAATAGAGATATTTTCCATCAATTATTAGTAATTTCATTATTTCTTGTACAAGTATTATTCAGAGATTATCAAATTCATTGCAAGTGTAATTTATTATGCAGTGTAGTCTAATTAAAATATTTTATACTCCATATTTTACAAAATTGTTTTTGTTTTAAATGAGGTGAAGCAATTTAAAAGCTGATATGTTAGGTAGAAAGCACAATCTGTCAAACTGAAACTTGTGCAAACATATAAGCTAGTAAACCATCATACATCAAAGTAGGTGTCACATCTAATGATATTCAACTGCTAACCTAAGATTTTACATCACACTCAATTCCAATATCACAGCAACTCATTTATAAAGAGTAATATATTAAGGTCTTATAAAAGGGAACCCAAATATTAACACTTATCAGAGCCTAGACTCAAGTTTTACATACATGATATTAGCTGCTGCTGGGATGCTTGAATTGATAATGGTTGTTTCGCAACCTCCTAATTCCACGGCTGCCTATCACAATTCAGCTATACAGCTACTATTATTGAGATCCTCGATGTCAAGGAAGGAAAACTCTTGAGAATAACGTTATTAGAATGGTTTACATCTGAAAATCTATTCTAGACTTCACTGCTACTGATGTCATCTGCTGCACTCTGGATTCCTGAATCAGTAGGGGTAGGGGGTAGAGCGCAGTCAGTTAACCACTTTACTTTATGAAGGACTTACAAACTAAACTAAATTTCTTTCTTTTTTATCTTACCCCAAGCAGAGCAATGAGGTGAAACAGCCGTTTATATCTATCTACTGCGCAGTCAGTAGCACACCAAGATACAAGCAGAGAGGAGACACTACTAGTGACATGTATGTTGGGTCAGGATATTAACTGGTTGCAAATAACCTTTTCAACTGTGGAGGAGCATCAACTTTCAGACTCAGTTGGAGTGATAAAGCCAAGTCTAGGAAGCCGCGGAAAAATAAACATAAAAAACAGCGTGATTGAGAGAAACAGATTTCTGTCAGAAAATATTGGTGCAGTACGCAGGCTAACCTGTCAGGCGGTTAGACAGGTGACTGGCCTAATGAGAAAATTGGATTTCAGACAGTAAAACATCTAAGGATTTGGATTTCCTTAATCCACACAATTGTTGATCATTTCATATGCATTCAATTGTTGATTAAATAATAAAAAGATATCGATTCTACAAGTTAGACACAATATTTGAACAGTACAACCGCATCAGAGAATAAAATCAAACATTCTGTTCAAATAAAAATTTCTGAACAAATAATGCAGCAATATTTTAGAGTTTACAATTGATTTTCTTGGAAGATCTATGCTTCAATTCTGGTTTGACCCTTTGTTCATCCGTGAGAACTCACTCTTCGTCCACCCATTGTAGGCTTGTGCACAAAGGATCTAGGATTCTTCTTAGGTCGAAGGGATCTTGATCGGGTCATCTTGAACCTATATTTATGCCATTCTTTATAAGCACTTTGACTAAAATCAAAGCGTATCCTCCTATCATCAACATAAGCTTGATTTATTTTCACTAGGACATCGAGACCTTCTGCAACATTCCCAAAAACAGTATGTTTGCCATCAAGGTAGCGAATGTCATCCCTTAAAGTTATATAGAATTGTGATGCATTGAGATTCTTGCCAGCGCTAGCCATTGCGACAGTACCCTTCTTGGAGTGTTTGAGATGAGAGTGTATCTCATCTTCAAAAAAACGAGCCTGTTGCACATTATGAAACAAACAGCCATTGTAATAATTAATCATGGCAAGTTTTAAGAAATTCTTGCAGGTCAAAGGGCAGTCATCGGTGAAAAGATCGATCACAACATCACCTAGACTCGTCACTAATAATACAGACATTGTATTATTTTTTTTTTTTTGAGTAATGAATAAAATACCTCTTCCCTCTTCAATATTTATAGAACTATAGGCTAAATAAGATAAAACATACTACCAAATAAAACTTACCATGCTATTCAAATAAAACTTACCATACTAATAATACAGATATTCTCCTATCCTTATAAATAATTTCAACACCTTTTAATTCCCACTTCCAATTATTATTAAAGCCTACAAGCCTACTCAATATTTTTCTTAAACTATGTGCACCCATACAGTTGTGATTGTTATAAAATAGAGGTAGTATTACATAAAAATATTTTACTTTAGGGGTAATACACTTCCTCCGTTTCTTTTTAGTTGACATGTTTCTTTAGTCATGTTTGCCAATGCACAAATACAACCAATAATATTTTTAATTTCCGATAAAAAAAATTATAAAAAGTTAATATTTAAAAAATATATATCGTGATGATTCTAATAAGATCTCACATCACTATGTTTTTCATTACATGTATATAAATCATAAAACACGGTCAAAGAAATTAAAACGTGAACACCATTTTTTTTTTCTCTCCCTCCCCCTTGGCTTACACAAGTATAATAGAGATCTTTGTATCGAGTAAATTTTTCCAACAATTCTATGCGATGTCCATTTGTCAGGTTCAAAATTTCTTGCACCGCCACTAAAATGGCTTCACAATAGAAAAAAAAAAGTACAATCAGTACACAGATCATATCAAGTTGATGTTACATCTTACAAAGTTCAACTGCTATCTTTATATTTTATTTTATACAAGTAGCTCATTCAAGCCCAAACTAGTTAACTATCAGAAGCCTAGACTCAAAATATACATACAAGATAGCTGCTAAAATGACTCTTTTACAATCTCAAAAATCCACAAATGCAATAGCCCTTACCCAAAAATATCTATTTCTCCTTTCAGGGTAATGAACAACAATTCAAATATTTGCTCCAACAATAGCTATGAGCTTGGTGATTTATTTACATCCTCAAACTCAAGCGGGGAAAACTTTTTAAAACAATGTTGCTCGAATGGTGCACCTGAATTCTGTTCTAGGCTCCGCTGTCAATGATTTTATCTGCTAAACTTAAGCAAGAGTATAAACCTTTACCACTTTGGATGTATCACAAACAACAAGGTTGTCTGAATCAGTCGGGGTAGTGCACAGCCAGTTAACCTGCCAAGTACAGCAAACTTGAAAAATCTGACAAAGGAAAGGTCATACAGACCAATATAATTTTTTTCCGTTATCTCTTGGCCTTGTTGAGCTATTCTCCTTTATATGAAAAATGTTAATTCGACCAGAAAATAACCACAAAAAGGAAGGTGCATTACTTTTTTTGGCAAATCAATGCTAATTACTGAAGTTGAGTCCGCACTTATTTGAGCCTCATCAAGATACCGAGACCAATCCCAGACCTTAACTGATTTATCATTTCCTCCAGATATTATGAACTTCCCTCTCTCTCCAAATGTTGAAAATGTCCTGAAATGTCAAGTTAAATAAAAGTCACCAGCCTACAAGATTATATTACCAGTTATTGACTCAAAGAGGCCCCGTCATTCGGATCTCCCTGAACCCTAACACAAGTGGGATTATACTAGGGAGCAATTGTTGCATCCTAAAAGCATGGTACATTTGCAAGATAAAGGTAAAGTACTTACACGCAAGAAGCAGCTGCAGAATGGCCTCCGAGTGTATAATCCAAATGCAACCTTTTCATCTCATTTCGTTTAACATCTGAGACTGCAGCAGCATTACTTGACCTGCCTTGGGGACATTTATCGTTTTTGGAAAGCCCTTTTGACTTAACAGCAGCAAGCTCTGCTTCTATATTGATCAAGCTGACAATCCCATCTCCTCTTGCAACGGCGCATGCCTTTCCTAACTTATCCAACATGTCCATTTCAGGAACAGCTATAGCATGGATGAAAGCTGGGTTGTAAAACTGTCCGGTGTTTTTAGTGCTTTCCTCCAGATTCCCTGGTACAAACAACAGCAGCATCACTTATGTGTTCAAGCAGGTATAAGGACAGATAGAAGACATTCCATCTTCCAAGCATGAGAGTCAGCCTGACTAAACACAAACAGAATACAAGGATTTTAAAGGCTGGTTTGCTACAGAAATACATTGCATATTAGGGTAATAGCTGAGAGCTCATCAGTTTGACAATCTAAATACGATTCATTTTAAAAAAGTGATCACGAGGGCATGTGTAACTGGTGTTAGGTACAAAAGCAAAGCCAGAAGGCATGACATTGGCATTAACCTGCATAACACAATAGTGATTAGTGGCGTTTTTGTGGCAAGATTAAAAGACCTATTGAATGACTAAAATGTCCTGTAATTATATAACTTGGCTCAAAAAATGCATAGATCAATATGATGAACAACCTTTAAATGTCCTGCAATGTTACCTACATTTTCAGAAAGCCAAAACATCATTTTTGTTACATAAACATCACTCAGGTCAGCCCCTAATTACAATAGACCACTAATATGATATTCAACATCTCTGTTTCAAACAGATGCTCCTGCTTTTATTTTCATAGTTTCCAATGCATATATTTGTGTATCAAAATTTCGAAAAGTAAATATTTTGCAATGCCACGTCGGGATGTATCTAAGCAAATCCCACATTGGCATGTTTTTCTAATATATCGGTGAATACTCATCAAACTTTTGGCTCTTTAACGTGATATACTAAACAAGAACATACTTTAGAAATGGAGGGGGTACCTTTATCACAAAAACTCATTTGTTAATTCTAGCCTCATTCGAGCTTGAATTTGAGCTCAAAGTGAAAATGAGCAAGCCAAAAGTTTAAGGAGCCATACTTGAACAAGAAATCTAAAAGCCTAGTCAAGCTCGAACAATGTTCATCATCCATACTTGGAACACACAGAGAATCAACAATCATACATTGGAAACGCAGTTTGCAGCCAATGAGCCATGGTAAATTTCAAAAGATAAGTATGTAAAATCATGCTAAGAGAAATAGTACCAAAATCCACAACAAGGAATGGCCGTCCCTTGGAAAAACCCCACATGATCATCTTAGAATCCAGACCTCCAGTAATAACTGCAAAGCAGCAAGTAAGAAAATTATCAAAATATTAAGTAGGAAGATGTCTGATATAAACAAGAAGCAATAAAAAACATGCTATTGTCTTTTAATGACCAAGAACAGAATAACTATCAAAACATTAGACACCAGAAGATGATATTGTCATACATAAAAAGGGCTGATTGGCAACTTGCATCACAAGGAACATCAACAAACAAAACCACTCCCCCAGGTACTATGAAATTATTTACACAAAATGCTAATTAAGAAATTTGACTAACTAATAAGCAGGTAAAATAACATTGCAGCTTGAAGGATTGCATCTTAGAAATTAAAATAGGAAACAAATTTCTTCAATCTGATTGTGATCTCAGCAGCTAATCAGTCTTCTGTGACAGACTCAATGGGGTTGCCACCTAAGTGTAATGGGAAGCAGAGGACAGCAAGGCACTATTGAACAAAACTTCATCAATGAAACACAAAGGGGAGGAGTAACAAAAGCCTGCTGGTTTGATACTCTGTCCAATAGTGACAAAATTAATATTAGGTTATCTTTGTTATCTAGTGTAGCTTGTTTGATTATACAAGGAGTAGTAGTATAGCAGTAGAAGACATGAGATTTGTATTGTGGAATGAGAGAGAATGGTAACCTCAAGTTATCAAAGAGCTCTTTGCCATTATCAATCAAACATCAAGCTTTCATCTGTATTCATTTTCCTTGTTAAATCAGATATACTAAGTCTGAAAAGCAGTCTATTACAACTTCCAAGTTCAGAATTACACTGACAATACTAACTTCATAATACCCCTAGGCCTTGCTCCCCAAAATATCAGAATATAAAGCATCATGTAAAGAAGAGAAAGTGATAAAAGACAAAAGATAAGAAGCAGAAATGACACCTCCCCAGCCAAAGGTTTCCCTCAAAATTTATATTTTCATGAGTCCCAAGTTGTTTAAGGAAAGAAAACGAGTATATCTAGGAGATAACTTCGAGAGCTGGAGTAAAAGCCATGGGTTCTTGCAAGTGCATCTCATCCATTCCTCTAAAGTCCTTGCATCCAATGATTCAGGACTAACAGAATCCAAGTCCATGAGAATGGTTTAATCATTTTCTTACCAAAAAAATTGTTCATGGACAGTTGGACACAAAACCGCAGACCTAGATCACCCTCATCCCTAAGCCTTAAAACATAATCCCATCCAACAAGACAAAATATTTCTGAGACCAAAATCACCCTCCTAAGGCCTACAATGGCTACAAACAAAACCTGGGACCTTGACCACCCTCCTCCTTCAACCCCCCCCCCCTCTCTTCTTCTCTATCCATGTACACGATCTATGGGAAATGCTTAACCTCCATAAGATGTATTTTAACTTTTAGACTTGAATAGCCAATGTTTCTGTGTCACCAAATGGCTTGGTTCATTGCTGATACTTATCTTCTGCCACACCATTTCAGAAAGCAACTTATCTCTTTCTAAAATATCATAAATTAGCTTCCAATAATCTGGACAAAAATACCTGTTAATATTGTCATAGAATGATCTGATAGTTGATATTATATAGGCCTAACTGCCTAAGGACTAGCAACATTATCATTATTTTACTTTACCAAACTAGGGGGAGAATCTAGGACCACGAGTTAACATAATAATAGCAGCCTTGGTAAGTGTATACATTTTCATTTCTCAATAATTATAACGAAAATTATAGCTTTATATCTGATAATGAAATCGGGTGTTTCTTAGCCACTTCATCACCAATTAAAATTTACAATTGTGAAAACATTAGCATGTACCTTCCCAAGGCTTCCACGGAACAAACTGAACACTGCTACATATCTAGACATGCAGGGTCAAGGTCACAGAAATTCACAGCACTACTCATAGTACCACTAATATTTGGAATGCAAGTGAAGAGAGGCATCAAAATTATACAGGAATAGAAACTCAAGTTATGTACAAGAAGTATCAATTTGTCAAAGATACTTCCTCCATTTTTTTTTAATAGCACTGTTTGTCAATCAACACTAGCCAGTGCACAACTTTGGTCATGATATCTGTAATTATCCTTTAGTAAAGTTACTCCCACCATTCCTTTTTGATGTTCCAATTTTAAAACTTGCAACTATACATAATTTGAGAAAATCTTCTAAATTATTATCAACATATGAGAAAAATCAAAATCATGTGGGATCTTGTATGATACGTCTCGATAAGTGCTTTAAGAATATCAATTTTTAACGATGCGTAATTAGGGATAATATTGGTCCACAATAAAACAAGAACATAAAAATAAAACGGAGGAAGTACAAAAATTTGATATTTTGAAAGTATATATCAAAATGAATCTAACAAGACCCCATATATATAATTTTTGTTAGGTACTTCGTATAAATTACAAAACATGGTCAAAAGGATCCAAACGGTGCAATTAAAATGATTATGTAAACATCATCCCAAATTCTTCAACAAGACAAAGGGTAACATTAGCTGAATGCTCATAAATATCTAATAAAAAGCATCCAACTAAGGAACCCAAAGTTTTCAAGATAAAGGTGGAAGGATACACTATCATGACCAGATCTCAATGTTTTGAAAGGGCATTGCCGTTGGATATCAATTATCTGCCAAAGTTAGTATAGTCAGAATCTGAATAACATAGGCAGAGACAAATAAAATACAAGAATTGTGGCTTCTTAACGTACAAGGGGACTTAAAGCTACATAACTACTTGAAATTATACCACCATTGAAGCCATTGAAGGTAATGAGAAAATAAAATCACATTTATTAAAATTTAAATTGTTAGATGGGCATGGCAATCAAGTGAATCAACTTTAAGCATTATGGCTTAAATAGTTATTAATAATGCCAACTAACATTACATTCCGGCATATGATCATGCAAAATTCATTTTTTTTTTTCTAGTTATTTCCTAGTGTTACTCATGTCTTTCATGAAAGTTATCATAAACTTCCAGCACTGCAGTAATTGGTTTGAAATCTTCACTGTCCATGGCCTCAATTAAGCAAACATACTCTCCAAGATTACAAATACTTTTAGCACTTCAATTGTCAAATGAATATTTGGATACAAAGTGACCAATCCATCAACAATCATGACAATATTACTTGGACTCTTCATTTTACCCGTGTTAAATCCTCAGCACTAAGACAGGATAGAACATTTCGACCCTTCATTTCAAAAACACAAAATGTTCCCACAAAATAGAGGAGTTGGACACTTGTATACATACCTATGTCAGACATGGGTATATGAGTATGATTGCCCATTAGCAAAGCAAAGCGATCAGCAAATGAACCCATGTGATAACATAAGCTAGTGCAGATATCATTACACATATAATCCATACAAAACAATAAAATGACCTAAATGAATTCTTTTGGCTCTTACCCAATATAATCTAAGGCAATCACATGTACTAAAGATGAACAAAGAGATGTGTTATATATAATAAAGAAAGAGAAACCAATTAAGGGTTGAATAATAAACAAACAAACAAACATTCTTCAGCCAATGCCAGAACTGCAATTTTCATCAAATATAATATAAATAGTAAGTACCTTCACATCACCGCTATCATCTGCAGCAGCAAGAAAAGATGACTTCAAGTTACATGATATCTGTACATAAACAGATCTGAGGTGTTATGGTGCCAAGATTGGATCTTGTATAATGCAATAATTTGTGACCTCAAGAAAAAATTCAAGACTGGTTATCATCATTTTTTTTTAAGGAAGTCATACTCACCAAAATCAAGCATAAATTCAAAGAAATGACTAAAAAATAACAGGCATTTATTATCCCCCTAGCAACATTATTGCCAATCATACACGATAAATCATCAATAGCTTGTTCTCAAGCCAATAAAACAGTTATGCACCAAAACCAATGCACCAAAAAATTAATTATAATGCAAGCCCTCCGATGTAATGAAATTTTTCACAAGACACTAGAATACCTGGTTAATTTCCTCTTTGTTGTATTTGTAGCACTCCATGGGCTTCTCAAAAGTAGCCTAAAAGATCAAAGCCAACCACGTTATATGGAATACAAAGACAAAAGAATACAAATAAGTTCCAGCCAAAAACACTGAAACACACCGTATAACTTATACCATTTGAACATCAAAGCAACTGATGTCTATCCCAGAAGAAATGTATATCATATTTTCATTCCCTGCATCATTGAGAGAAAACATAAGGAATCATTAGCAATTATTTGCTTCTTCTCAAGTAAACAAAACTTATTTGCTTCTTCTCAAGTGAACAACACCGATGATTAATGGGAGGATGTAAGCAAGTACAATACTAGAGATTTTCATTAATACCAAAGTCTATGTAACATAGCATCTCCATCATTAAAATTAAGTTTAAGACTGTTGATAGAGATGAACCATGGTAACATAGAATTATTAATAATTTTTATAGTGAAAATAATTTTTTTTTTAAATTACACACTTATGAACATACATTTTACATTGAAAAATGAAAGTTTTGGTTTGGTTTTAATTAAAATAATAATATATAAATAAATAATGAAGTAAAAGAAGTATGTCTACAATTAGTATGAGCTAGCTAGTAAAGAGGAGGAGAGAGTTTGTGAAACAAAAGACCTATACATGTCACAATAATTATTGATTTCCTTTGTTGAGTACACGAGAGTATGTAGTTGTAGGTCAAGACCATTAAGGGAGGCTTATGTAGAACAATTCTATTATAACAGACTAATGTAAGGATAACACACCTTCTTTGAAACACAAAGACGAAATAGCATCATTGCCTAACTTCATAATTTGTTGAACATCTTTGCATCTCAAGTCAAACAAACACAAGCAACCATCCTGATGACATGAAAGCATGACAACATGCAATCGAGACATTAAAAATAGAGCGTAAAGCACCACCATAACACATAAATCATAGTTCATGTAGATTTTCAAGCAATCAAGCCATTGAAATTTCCTCTTTTAAAAATAAAATGTAAATGAAGGACAATAATGAAACAAAAGATTCGTGAATGCATCATGAAGAAACAAGTAACGAGGACACGTATAAAAACACAAGCAGTCAGCTTTAGTCAAATGGATCATTACAAGGCCACCATAAGGTCCAAAACAAAAAGACATGATCACTAACACAAATAGCACAATGATACAAACACACACAAGTCGGCAAAAACTGGGTAATTACCTCTTATCAAGTATATATGTTCTTCACCAAATTTGAATTTAATGCACAATTAGTTATGTTTAATGTTGGAAAGCCATTGATAAGATTTACTTAATTCGTAGCGGATGGAAAGAAGTGGTGAAAAATCACATTGTGCAAGGTGATAGTCCAACAATTTCCAGAGAGAATTCCAAAGCTTATAGGTGCTGTTACAGACTTAATAGTTAATACCTTGCCAAACCTACAAAGAAACTTAATTTCACAACTGCCAACCTAGTTCCAAGGATATCTCTGAGACTGAATTTCACAAAGATTTTATCGATAAATTCTAGTTGGTAATCTTATTTCCCAAAGGCAAGAACTTGCTAAGGTACTCCACAGTGCTCCAAAGCGGCAAAGCCCACAAGTTACAAAATTCACCCAGGTTGGTTATCCTATTATTCAATTTATCCTGTAAAATAACAATCTATTGTTCAAATGTGTGCCAGCAGCATTATCCGTATTTTCTTGTTCATAATCTTTCTTATAAAAATAAAGCTTTCCAAATCCAAACATTCAATCCAAAATCCTACATTCCTACATAAGAAGCATCAATCCCCCAAAAATAAACATCCTTCATTCCAATAAATTAACCCTACTCCAAGAAATCTAAATTCATAACCCAGCAACAATCTAACATAATAAACAATGATCATACTCCTAACTTCCCAAAATCAAGAAAGATGTAAACGTTACAATTAACATAAACTAAAGAAAAATGAAGAAAAGGGGCAATGAAAAATCAAATTTTGGGAAATGGGATTATTACTGAATCCAAAACAATGATGATTAAAGTAATTAATCAAAATAAAAATATCAAAAAAACAAGTAAAGGGTAAGCATCTTAAAGCAATAGGAGGAAGGAAAAAGGGGAAAGAACCTCGGCGGCAGTGAAAACGACAGAAGGGCGTTGACGAGAGGAGATGCAGGAAGTGGCGGTGGCAGTGTGACCCTTCAGTCGTCTCGGAGTCCGTGAAGCCTCCATCACTTTGGTTGTTGCGACTGTCTCGCCTAGCTAGTCACCTGGGCAAGAGGGTCGAGGAGTCGAGGACTAGACTAGAGGCCAGAGGGTGATTATCAAATTTGGATGAGTTTATTGGAGGGATTCGAAAGGGAGGTTAGTTATGTATATGCTCATACATAACAAGTAGCACTGTCAAAACGGTTTGACAGTTCGGGTTTGGTTCGGTTTGAAATCGGTTCGGTATTAAAACGGGTCGGTTTGGAATCGGTTTAAATGTTTCGCAGGTCGGTTTTAGTTCGGTTTAAATAGTTATCGGTTCGATCGGTTTCGGTTTATTCTTGAACGGTTTTAATTCGGATCGAGTAAACAGTTTGGGTAGTAAACGGCAGACGGGTTGCGGTTTGTTAACGGTTTGGTGTAAACGGTTTTTATCCCTGTTCAAACAGTTTCGGGTTGGGAACGGTTTCGGGTTAGAAACAGTTCGGTTCTTTTTCGATTCAGTTTATAACTAGTTCGGTTCTTTTTTGGTTTAGTTTATAACTGGTTCGGTTCTTTCACGGTTTAGTTTATACCTAGTAGATTCTTTTTCGGTTCACTTTATAACTAGTTCGGTTCTTTAATGCTCAATCGGTAGTAAACATGTGTGCAAAATTAAATTTCATTTAAAACACCTTTTTACTTCATTTTAATATTCTCTTTATAGTAAGCACTTTGTAGCCGATTCGTTTATAAGCGATCCGGTTCATAAACAATTCGGTTTGCAAGCGGTTCGTTTTATATACAGTTCGGTGCAAACGGGTTGTGGATGTTAACGGTTCGGTGTAAACGGTTTTTATCCCGGTTCAAACGGTTTCGAGTTGAAAGCGGTTTCGGGTTAGAAACAGTTCGGTTCTTTTTCGGTTCGGTTTGATTTCAGTTCGGTTTAGAACTGGTTCGGTTCATTAACGGGTTCGGTTCTTATACGGTGTAACGTTATTCGGGTCGGTTCGGTTTCGGGTTCATTCACATACGGTTCGGGTTGGTTTTTGGTTTCAAAAAAACGGTTTTTAATCAGTTCGGTTCTCATTTGGATCGGTTCGTTTCGGACAGTTAAACGGTTTCGGTTTGAAATTTGACAACAATAATAACAAGTGCTCCCTTTTATTTTAATTTTTTTTTTAAGTCCTACTAGAACTTGTTATAGTACTACTGATACTATTAATAATATGACCTACACTGTATATTTTACCATTGATGATATTAATAGTACTATTAAAGAGAACACTAAATAAGAACGTTTTATAATTAAGAGTAATAGTCACTTGTTTTCTAATTAATGGTTTTTAACGGTACTAATTATCACAACTCTACTACTTATATATCTAAATAAATTAACTTTTAGCTTAATAGCCCACCATGCTTCGCAATAATAATTATTTAACTAGAGAGTTTTGACCAATACCTGAACTTAGTCGACAATGGAACCTCCAGCGTTCTGAGCTTCCAGCTTTACCAAGGTAGCTAACCCCAACCCTGTCTTCCTTAGATCAGGCTCAGCACAGATCTAATTCATTTCCTATTTTAGATCGTAATCTCTAATTAAACAATCCTTACTGTGTTTATGATGGAATTTTTAACAGAAAGATAACTCATTTGATATATAAGGTTCAAGGGGATAACATTCCCTTCTTGAATGAAACTTTTATTTAATTTGAAAAGATTACAACACTCATATATTACAGCACACACAAACTGAAAGCTTAAACAGACATAAGCTGAACTAGAGTTTTCTCTACTTTAAGAGAGATGCAGAACCAATCTTTCTCTTAAGGTGAGTATCTTTCTCTAGAGGACTCTCTAAATCTTTCAGAGTAATTCTCTAGCTAACTCTTCCAACTCTGCCTTCACTTCTTGGCTTAAGTCCCTTTATATAGGGAAACAAAGTTACATAGGATCCTTATCCTGACTCAACAAGCAATTCTACACCATTGCTTTTTACTTTAAGACAGAAATAATTAGTAAAACGTGGCTACAGTAAAGATGCCTTGAATTATTGCTGGTGTGGGGTTAAGCATTCATAATTTCATCCAAATCATTTCTTATAGGCCTCCCTCACTATCTTTACTGTCTTCGTACATAGGATTCTCTCTGCAAAGGTCTGCAGCACATTTGGCTGCATACTCTTCATCCCAACTCATGAATGCTTCAAACAGAGCTCATAGCCTTCAAATGACAGAAACTTTCCACTTTCGATATCTTCTAAATATTTGTATATTGACTCGGTGTTGTTCATGCCATCTACTAAATATTCTTTCATCTCGTTAGGCGCCACAATTGTTGTGTTACCAACATGAAACGTGACAAGAGGAATTTCTTTCCTTTTTATAAAATCGTTAAGATATTGTGAAATGTAGAAAAATCCCAGTGCTCTTGCTTCAGTTGGATTTCTAACAGTCTTCTGACGAATTAGTATGGGATCTTTGCAACACCTCACTTCCCCAAATATTATCAAGTAATGCGGGGGACTAACTTTTCCTTCTTTAACTTTGATATTAGCACAATGCACCTTTACTCTTAACTGAAATTCGTCTTTTTTGTCATCACAATATTTTCGAACCTTGTTGAATGCGTACTGTTGGAACTTTGTAAGTCTTGGAAAGAAAGAGTCATTAGGAGTAGGGAATTCATAGAAATCATATACCACTCCATAATCCCAAGCCTTGTAATGTATACTAATGAATGGAGCATTCTTATCAAGAGGATATGGGTAGTTTCACAATGATGCAACTTTAGAGTTTTTGGGAAACTCTATTCTTTCTCCCCATAGATCTCGAAGATCAAAGAATTTACTGGACCTTGTAACCACCAACTTGTACCATGTCCTAAAATCGTTATCACTTATTTTGTTTAATATTGGATTTCGTACAGCAGGAATGAGGTGAAATAACATAATTGTTACTTCGAACATCAATAACCTTTGGATTGCCCGATGGCAACCCTTAATTAAACCATCTCGCGAACGTTGTTTTGCCGATATGATCAAGCCTTGCATTAAGGCCCAATTGGAGGGTGAAACCCGCTCCATTGCCTTTTCGGTCTCATCAATGAGAGTTTTCCTCTCTACATCCATCTTTTGAAGTTGGTATGCAGGAGGTTTTTGTGTAATATTGAGCTTCTTGGACGACATTAGCTAATTCTCTGGTCAAGCTGTCTGCCAAAGAATTCTTTGTTCCCTGTATATGTTCAACAGTAAAAGAGATTTGGTTAAGCCATAATTTCCAACACAGGAGTCTCCCTTGCGCTTGCATATTAGACAAATTCTTTTTAACAAAACCGAGTATGCCTTTGCAATCTGTTCTTATTAAGAACTGTTTAGGGGCTAAGAAGATTAAAAACTTCTCAATCCATCTAATGACTGCAAGGATTTCATTTTTCATTGTGGGATAATTTCACTCAACTATGTTAAAACTTCCACTGCTATATCTGCAAAGTCTTTCTCCTTCTTTTATTTTTAACACAGCACTCCAGTGCTCAATACTAGCATCTGTTTCAAGGATTAAATCATCTTTACTAGTAGGTAGTGTTAGTACAGGAAGATCTTTACACATAGCTTTAAATCTTGAACAATTTTGGAATCACTTTCCTTCCAGTTCCAAGTTATTTCTTTCTTGAGTTTTTGTTGCAATGACTTCCTTAATAAAGCAAGATTTTCTATAAAATCAGAAGCATAGGTTAAACATCCTAGAAACCTTTCTAGCTGTTTTCTATCTTCAATTTTATCAGGAAATTTTTCAATTATTTCTAGAATATGTTTTTGCAGTATTATTTGTCCTGCTTTAATTTCTATTCCTAAAAACTCAATTTCTTGTTTAGCATAAACACATTTATCTTTTCCAAGGATTATACCATGCTCTACACATTTTTGAGTTACTGCTTTGAGATCATTCTTATGTTGTTCTAAATCTTTTGAGAATATTAGAATATCATCTATATAGACCAAACAACAATGGTTAAGTTCTCTAAAAATATTATCCGTTCTTCTTTGAAATATTTGTGGAGCATTTTTTAATCCAAAAGGCATTACTAACCATTCATAATGCCCTTGAGGGGCACTAAATGCAGTTAATGGAATGCTTTCTTCTTCCATTTTAATTTGCCAGTAGCCACTCTTGCAATCCATTTTAGAAAACCATGTGGCTCCTTGTATTCTATTAAATAACACGGTTTTATTAGGAATGTAATAGCCATCAAAAACAGTATTATCATTTAGTTGTTTATAATTAATGACCATTCTAGTTTTACCTCTTTTTTCTTCTGCATGATTTCTTACCATGAATGTTGGACTATTATGAGGGCTTTTACTATTCCTAATTAGCTTTTTATTAAGCAATTCTTTTATTTGTTCATCAAACTCCTGAATATCTTGGTAGGTATAAACCATTTGTCTCACTCTAATAATCTTATTAGGATTTGTTAGAGTTATTTTAACAAATGCTTTATCCTTTTCCCAATGTTCTAAAGGATTTGTTGAATATAATTTTTCGCATAGTTTTTCTTATTGCTTATTTATATGATATATTAATGATGCATCACACTCAGAAATTCTAAGTGCAACCTCTCGTTGTGTAGGAGTAACCCTATCACCACGCTGGCTGCGCGTAAATTCCATTGTCTGATGAGTATAAGTCTTTGTTATTTTCTGTATGGGAACATAATGACCATTAATAGTAAAGATTATTTGATCAATAGTTTGAGTGCATGGAGAGTATAACCTTTGAAAATTATTTCCTATTATCATATCATGACTAGGCTGATCAGTTGCCCATAAAATAGGAATAACACATTGAACTCCTCCAATTTCTATTTTTAAATCTTCAATTATCTCCGTATGCATCATGACACTATTATTAGCAATTCTAACTTGCATAGGATTTTTGGACTTTTTCCACAAAAATTCTGGAAATAATGATCTGTTTCCAAAACATGTAGAACAACCACTATCAATATATGCACATAATTTATATTTATTATAATCTTCAATGCATATATCAATTGGTATATAAATACTATTGGGATTAGTACTGGATATTTCATTATAAGCTTCCATTTGCATATTAACTTCATCCTCATATACTGGTTCACTAACAGTTTTGGTTTTGTATCCAATTACCTTCCTTTTATCAATAGGATTATTTATATCTTTATTAATTTCGAAATTAGAACATGATCCCATTTCAATACTATGTCTTGCTGGTTGTTTTAAGGCCTTTTTACTTTCATATTTTTCATTTAGTTTCTTTAATAGAACTAGTATTTCTTCTTCATCCTCTTCCGGCTTTTCATCACCTTGTTTTTCATTTTTATTATTGTTGAATTTTGTCTACTTAGACTTGGTGTTCTAAGACTCAGATTTCTCTGTATTTTAGGTTTTGTATTCATTCCAATATGAAGTAGTCCTGATTCATCAATTAACATCTTACTTGATCTATTACTAACTGCAGGGTTCATAAAGAATTCTTCCTAAGTTTTTTCAATTTCAATTTCATTAGGATTTACCTTTATAAATGTAATTTTCTTCTTAGGACCTCCTCCTTGCTTATATTTCTGAGCATCAACTATTTGTCTCTTAAAAGATGAGTCTATAGTGTTTACCAACTTATAAACCACCTTCCATCTTAATTGTATAAGTCGTGTTCCTTTATGCATTTTCACTCCTTCTGTTAATAACTTAATAGCTAAAAACTTTGACGCAAAGGAATCCTCTAAGCTCACATAATATCTAGGTTCACATATATAGCTTACCGTTCCTTGACTTAAGTTACATGTGATACCACTAATTATTTGATCATTAAATTATTTATGTCTAATATCACAAATAAAAATCAAGCATTTAACATCCTTGCCAAAATCTTGTAATGGAGTTATGTATAATTGTACTGCACCAATACAAATATAGCTATAATTTCCTTTTTCTTTATGTTTTTTTTAATACTTTTCCAGTTTATGATATTAATTTCGGTTGTCTTTTGTTCACAATCTTCGATTACTATACTTCCTTCCATTTCTTCACATACATATTTAGATCTATTTTTAAAGAAAGAAGTTTTAAATATTTTATCTTTAGTAATCTGAGGAAAATTCTAGCTTTCTTTGTTTACTTGATCTAGGTCGTTATCCTCAAATGAATACTTAGCTCTTTTTAGTTGACCTATTGTCATTTTGCTTTTATCTTCCTCATTGTCATCTGATTCTGATTTTTCTCCTTCTTCTCCTTCCATCATGTTATTTATTTCTTCATAATTTTCATCTTCAAACTCAGCTCATCACTAACTTCAGGTTCTTCATTATACTCATTTTCCTCTTCTATGATTTCTACTATTCCTTTATTATTACTTAAAGTCAATTCTAAAGCCTCGTCTTCTAGTATTTCTATGCAATCCCAACTTCCTAAGGCTTCCATTAGTTTATGATTAGCTTTCTTACATTCATTAGCATAATGTCCTAATTCTCCACAAGACCAACACTTGCATGTCTTCTTTTTCTCAGGACAATATGTTGCCTTTCTGAAAAACCTACTTGGTTTTCTATATTTATGTTTATAATACTTTACTAGTAGAAAATATCATTTGGCCACCAGTTCAAAACCCCCCTATGCCACCGGTTTTGAACCGGTGGGCATTTGGGGGGTGGCAATAAACAGACTCAAGGCCACCGGTTCAAAACCGGTGGCAAAACCTTTCTCGCTTTTTTTTTGTAAGGGTTATTGGCACCGGTTCTTGCTCAAAACCGGTGCCTTTAATGGCAAAAAAAAAATTTTTTTTTTTTTTTTTTTTTGCATTTTTTTCACTTAAATTGATGTATAAACACTAATATATATATATATATATATATATATATATATATATATATATATATATATATATATATAAACTTACATATTTTTATAAAAAAGATGATGTAATATTACAATTTTCGTCCAAAAAATAAAATAAAATACAAAGTTACACGGCAGCACAGAAGCAGCTGCAACACAGAAGCAGCAGCAACACGGCAGCACAGATACAGCAGCAGCAGCCTTACGAGGCAGTAGCTGCACCAAAACAATCAGAAATTGCAATTAGAAATTAACAATGAATAAAAAATAAAATTGAAACTAAACCTGTAATATTCTTGAGAAATAATGTGGGATGGGACCAAGATAATAATCTTTAAATTAGATAATCAGAGATGGCAACAAGAACTAATACCCTTCAACAAATGTCTACTAATCAATACAATAATGTCCATATCATAACATCTGCTGGACCATGTTTCATATATTAACCATTACATTTGTATTAAAAGCATATGGTCATACCACCATACAGATATATTTCGATAGTTGTGAAATAATAAGCAACATGGGTTAGCAAGATAAATAATTCCCCATTAAAATGATCAAGCACACCTTAAGTTGAACTGTTCACACATATTTCCATGTCAAAACAGGTAGGTACGTAAGAAAGGTTCCCCAAGATATGTGGCACTCTGGAACTCCAATTTCACCAAAAGCCTCCTTTTCTTAATAATGCCTTCCTCTTTTATACTCGTATGTATCTTAGCAAGAGAACATAAGATAAATGAAACCAAATTGGAATTCTTTACACTGAGAAACACTCTCAAATATTTGGAGAGACTACTATATGCATAATCTAAATATCTCTAAATAGTAACATTCTCTTTCTCAGATGTCTCCTACAAAAAACATTCCAGTCAAGTTAAGAGGTTTAGGCTACAACTCATATGTCACCAATGTGCATTCGAATATGTTTTTGGCCATATATTTAGCTATTTCCTTGGCAAACTCCAAAGAAAGCAACTTTGGATAACTTCAAAAAACTACAAATTATGTGTGATAACAAGTTCTACACCATGAAACCTAGAGTCACTCACTTCCATTATGCCTATTAGAAGATAAAAACCATGTTTTGCCTTGTCATTACCTAGTATGACAAGGCAAAGAGGAATGTGACAGAGAGATCAGAGACATCGATACAGCAAAACGTGTTTACTGTGCACATAGTTATTATACTACCAACCTTCAATCACAATAAACAAGGAAATATCTGATCACATGGCCATAGCAAAATAAGAAACTCTATAGATGTTGTTGGAAAAGAATCATTGATACATTACAAGCACAAGACAGAAGCAGCAGCAACATGATAGCACAGATACAACAGCAACACAGGAGCAACACCCTGCGAGGCAGCAGCAGCTTGCAAGGCAGCAGTTGCAGCAACAGATGCACCAGAACAATCAGTAATTGCAATCACAAATTAACAATAAAAAAAATTAAGAAACAAAATTGAAACTAAACCTGTCCTTATTAAGCACACGCCTCGGAAATTACTTTTCCTGCAAAGAAGAAAAACACAGAAAAAGAGACCAATAACAATAGCACCAAATAAATGTAAGATTAGTGATAGAATCTATTTTCTTTCTCTACTTAAACTCTTCAACAACTAATTGAATAAAAAAACACTATGATATTTTTAATTACTATGGAATCAATCTCCACAATAGGTGAAGCATAGATATACACTTATGAAACAAATCACAAAAAAAAAATAATAGAAAAACAGATCAGGCAATAATAAAAGAACTGCACTTAGAATTCACAAAATATGCACTTACAAATATCACAATACAAACAAAAATGATAGTTACCAAACAAGCACTTTCAATTCGAAACACCAAAAGTATTACAATTTCAACAAACAAGATCACAGTTGCACCAAATCAAAAGCTAAACAAAAAGCAACAATAATCTAAATCATATCAGATATCACATATTTAAAAATGAAATTACATTAAAAGGTTAAATAAAAACTTACATTCCACCAACTCCTCCAATAACCTCCGAACTAATTGGATGAAATGGAAGCTCGCAAATTCCAACCTTAAAACACCAATCATTCAATAATTAACAGATACTCAATCATAATAACAATAATAAAAAAAAAATTTAAAAAAAAAACAAAATCTAATTCTAATTCAATCCTTTACGAAAATCCATCTAAAATAAAATTAACATGAGCAGTAATTTATAACCTTAACACCAATTTGAACATTTGAACCCTTTATGTATATGGTGTGGACAAGAAATAAGACCTTAAATATATGAACAGTAATTAATAAGAAAACCCAGAAGCAGCAGCTCTTATCTCGTCCAATTTGAACTCAATGAAACTCGGTTGAGACACACTTTCATCTTTCCCTCCGTTTTCTACAATCACCCAGAAATCAAAAATATATAAGCATCAAAACCCATCAAAGATTAAACTACAAACAGTTAAACAACATCCACAAACCTAATCTTTGATCTCAAAACATAATAGACCATAACTCCTCCTGGATCAGATCTAGCAACTAAAACCCAATCAAACCCATAATCCCCTTTACTCCCGATTCCAATTTAATCCCATTCATGTAACTTACTATTATTAGCTAACAAGAGGGACAAAATCGAACTCAAAATCAAACATCACATACAAACTCAAACCCAAACACAGCAACCACATCACAAAATCCAAAATATAACCTTATAACTCAATGAAATCGAAATCAAAATCAAAATTCATATTATCAGCTGTAAACACCCCCAAAAAAACCCACTAAACACTCAAAAACACCCAGAAAAATGCCATAAAAAATCGAAACATGTATGTCACACGTTAACACAACAACCTAATCAATTCCAAATCAATTCAAACAAAAAAAAAATCAGAATTTCAGTAAATTGAAGCCCGATCTGAACAAGATCCTAACCCTAAAAACACAATTCAGCAAAAAAAAAAATCGAAAACAATCGAAAAAATTACAAATACAAGTACCTTATTCTCGGATTTAAGTAGAGGACTCAAGAAGAGATAGAGAGATGGAGTGGGCTGGCGGATCGCGACCACCGTCACCATAATCACCTTGGCGCCATGAAGAGAACAACATGTTCATCAACCTCATCACAACATAACCCCAACTAATTCAATCAAACGCCCAATTCATTTCAATTGTTCATCATTAATCACAAAAAAGTAAATAAAAATCAGAAACCCTAGATCTCAAATCGAAGAGCACATACCTTCGTGAAGAATTCCACCACATCTGCAAAGATCTGGCACCGGTAAATAAAAATACCGTCAATTACGATGGTGGCGACAACATTCACCACCGCCGTCATCCTCAAATCCTAAATTCCCCAGTAGTGCTGCCAAGAGAGAAGTGAAAGAAAGAAAGAGTGGAGTGGCGGTAGATGGGGCGGTGGTAGATGGAGCAAGAGGAGGCAAGTGAAGAGAGAGAAAGGAGGGTTTGAGCAGAGAGAAGAGAGAGGAGACGAAGAAATCAAGAAGAGAGAGAAAACAAAGGAGAGAGTACGAGAAGAGAGAAGTAGAGATGAGGCGCGTTTTTTTTTTAACAAAACCATTGCTTCAAAACCTGTGGCCTTTACCATTTATGCCACCGGTTCGGATTGAACCGGTGGCAATTTAAATATATATAATCCTGCCCATTTTTTAAGCCACCGGTTTTCGAAAACCGGTGGCCATTGAGCGGTGCCTTTTTGTTTTTTTCTACTAGTGCTTCTTCTTATAGGTTTCTCCTCTTGATAGGTCAAATTTATTTTTCTTATAGTTTCTTCTTTTATTATGGTTTTTTCTTTCACATCCATAGTTTTTCGGAAATCCCAACAAGTGAGAAATTGTCTCTTCATTTGTTGAGTTCTTGCAACCTCTCTACACTTATTTTCAATCCATTTTCTTATGAAAGCAATTCTGTTACCTAGGGCATCCCTAGCTAAGAATCTCTCTCTCCATTCCTGATATTTTTCACTAATTTCTTCATTAAGGGGACTTGGTAATTTATCATAGAACATTCCAAGATTTGTTTCATTTTCGCCAATTTTATAATAATATGTTTCAAATTCCATAATATAGTCCTCGACATATTTCATATTACGAACTAACTTTCTTTGATATTCCATTCGTTTCTCATTAGGATCGGCTCTAGGACCAATAAATTCTAATTCAATGTATTGACATAACTGCCTAAACATTCTAGTAGGTGATTCACTAGCTCTTAATGCAGTTTTTACTTCTTCATCCATTCCATCGTACCAATCTTCTACACAGCCGTAGAGGCTATGTTCAATATAATTTAAGAAATTTTCTGAAGTCCATTCAGTATTTAAATTAAGTACACTACTCATACTCTTCTTCCATTGATCTAAAACGTCTTAGCTTGTCTATCTCTTACGCCGTCTAATTTAAGTTTATAACCAGTTTGACTTATGGGTTCAAGAGTCACTTCTTCTTGTTTAGGTATATGAGTAGGCATAACCTTGACACTAAACCGGGTAGTCTTCCCTGGTATGTATCTTGGTCGTGTGCAACTTCCTTCTCCTCGGATACCTAGGTCTTTGGATAACATTGTTTACATTAATGTTTTCATTAATAATTTCTTCTCCAACATCATTATTATCCATTACTCTTTTACCTAATTTGTTTTCGATCTTTTCTTGAACAACTTCTATGGGTAGAAAGTCTAGATCATTTAACTTCATTAATACCATTTGTTGATATAAATCTTCCTCTAAAGTAGCATAATTAGTTTCCTCTATTTCATTATCAGAAGCAATCCCTTTTTTAGAAATTAAGTTCATGATTTCGTCAAGCTTATTAAGGTCTTCTTCTTTGTCGAAGAGGACTTGTAATTCATTTAGTGTTTTCTCCTGAAGATGAGGGCTCATGTTTAGTTTCTTTATTCTTTTCTTGGTTACGTGGTAGGTCTATTAGGGAGTGTTACAGTAAACTTTTTATTTTTATCCAGATTTTGAAAAGGATATTTATATTTATATGGGACAATTTTTTCTTTATTTGGTGATACTTCTTTTCCAAATTGATGTCTAACTTCGTTTGTTAGAGCTAGTTGAACTTGTTTAACTTGTTCGTTTAGGCCGCTTACTTTTTTTATTAATATCGGTTGTGATTATTGATATCTTATTTTCTATATTAATACAACGAGCATGTATGTTATCAACTTCCGATCTTAATTCGCCAATTTGATCTACTATATAATTAAGGACTGGGCCAAAATTACTAGTATTTTCAGGAATGTGATAATAATGCTTAAAATCAGGTTTCTTACACTCAATAGAGGGCCTAGTATTCTCCAGTTTTACTTAATTATTAACAACTTAATTTAGCTTTTAACCGTATGGCTCTGATACCAAATCGTCGCAGCTACTAGATTATTAAGAGAATTTATAAAGATAAGAGAATTTATTAGCTTTGAAGACTATTTTCTTAAAATCTACTACTAAACACTGAATTTATATCTCTAGATAGTAATTTTATATTACTAGAACTATTAAGAATACCACTGAACATTGAAGTTTTTAAATTATTTTATTACTGAGAAATAGCTTAATATTACTGGATAAATAATTTGTGCAACTAAGGCTTAAAAATATGTCATTGTAGCCTGTAGTGATATTAGTTTGATTCGCAGTTGGACTCGTTAAATATTTTCTCGTACATAACAGTTATGCATTAGTACTTCCTCGGTTTATTGAATCAAGTAAATTCAAAAATAACACCGTAATAAAGCTGGAAAATTGATTATAACACCCAAAAAAAAAAACTTTGATTATAACACCACAAAATAACACCACTTAACAGATTCTTGGATGGAATTCGTTAATGGGACCTATAATAGACACGTGTCAATAGGCTATTGGTTTTAAAATTTAATTAATTTTAAAACTAAAACATAAAAAAAAAAACCCTAATTGGCTAACCCCAGCCCAACCCCATCACCAATACCGTACCCCCGCCAACATGCCCTATGCCCACCTTGACCGACGAAATCAGCCCAATCACCACCTCTTAAACCGGCGACTCCCCCTTTCCCCCTTCTCCCTGAAAACCATCCCAACACATTCAAACCACCCAGCCCATTCTCCCCCTCCTCGAAAACAACCCTTACCCTTTACCGAGAAATCTAAGTTTCTGGGACTTCGAAGGTCGATTTCGGCCGTTTTGAGGGCGGAGGGTAAGGCTGAAATTGACCTTCGAACCCCAAAGTGGTAAAATTCATGGTGGTTTGTATGTTAGGGTGGTTTCCAGGGAGAGAGAATGAGGTTTCGGCGACATTTTTGGTAGGGGAAAGGAGTTCGACGACATTCTGGGTACGGAAAGGGAGGCTGACGACGGTGATGATGTTGTTGTGGTTGGGCTTACGGCAATGAGGCTGGCCGGCGATGCCGCGTAGGAAGCCTGGTGGGTGGTAGCTAGTTTGGGTTTTAGGTTTTTTTTCTTTTTATTTATTTAGTTATTTATCTTTTTTGAACCAATTGACATGAGACACGTGTCTGTTAGGGGTCCCACTAACGGATTCCATCCAAGAATCCGTTAAGTGGTGGTGAAAGCAAATTTTTTTTTTTTGTGGTGTTAAAATCAATTTTTCAGCTTTTTTGTGGTGTTATTTTGCAAAATTTCCTTATTTTTACTGAACTGAAATTATTGTTTGCGAAACTTAAAATATTTTAACTAAACTAAAATTAATTTTATTGAAGTGAAATTATTTTTGCTGGATAGAAATTATTTTAATGAATTTCTATTATATTTCTTCTTTAAAGTTACTGATTTTTACTAAACTAAAATTATCTTTACTGAACTGAAATTAATTTTACTAAACTGAAAATATTTTTACTAACTGAACTTATTTTTACTAAACTGAAATTATTTTTATTGATTATTATTTTTTTAAAACGAACTTATGCGTATTCTCACTCCTTTGACAGAATTAAATATCACATGAAAATTATTGTTAAGAGTATGGAATTTTCAAATTAACACAAGAGCTTTATACAATGAAATGATCGATGTTGAATATAATTATAAAAAAAAAAAGCATACATATATAAAATAACATGTACTTATTCAAAAATAACATATATATATATATATATACACATATACATATATACATATATACATATATATATATACACATATACATATATATATACATATATATATATATATATATATATATATATATATATATATATATATATATATATATATATATATATATATATATATATATATATATATAGGTTGAAGATCTCAAATTGATAATAACTGGTGGTCATATGATTTTAGATAAAATTTTAAAAAGAATTTTAACATTATTTTTTTGGACGGAAAGAAAAGAATATTAACATTGATTTACCCAAAATAAAAATAATAATAATAATAATAATAATAATAATAATAATAATAATAATAATTACGTGTAGCTAGTTTTCCGTGAATTGGGGGGGGGGGTGATAGCTTTGACTAAATATACCTTGATTATCTTTAAATATACCTTGGTTATCTTTACCTAAAAAAAATTTGTTACAAAATTACAATATAATTAAAACATGATTTTTTTTTTTACCAAACTTGTGTATTAACATTTAATTTTTTAAAAATATATAGTTAAAATTATTAGATTCGAATTTCGACTTCAATCATAAGATGCATTTCGCATAACATTGGTGTCCGGTCATAACTTTTTTATGGGAATACAGAGTAGTTTTCTATTTTGATGAGTTTTGATAACCAAGTTATATTGTAGAAGATAAAATAATAATATGTATAATAATATTCCTATTTTTGATGATACTATAAAATTTACCATGTTGATTTTCTGCTGTATTAGTGTATTATTATACACATACTTCCTTCATTTTTTTTAGATGCAACACACCCTTTAGCGCGGTAATTAAGAAGCAAGTGTGGGGTTTACATGATATAATAAACTTTAAAATAGGATGAGTGGTTGTTAGGAGTGTAATTTAGTGGGCCATGTGCTTTAAATAAGGGAAATAGTATAGTTTTTCCCTAATTAACTTTCCTTTTATAGTGTGTTATAAGTATTGTAACATTTCCTTTTTAGGGAAGTGTTGCAAGTAAAAAAAAACGGAGGAAGTATATATTAGTGGAAATCAAGATTTGAAAGAAAAACGGTGAAAATGTTAAAGATTTACATAGTCAAATAAATAAATGAACCAAATTTATCTTTAAACTTTTAATGGTTTAGATTGAAAACATTAACAATGGGACAATGGCTTACATATTTATTGTAGTCAATAAATAGTTTCCACTAATTATAATTATAATATTACTACAGATTTGTTATAAAATATGGATTATTTTTGTATACGAAAATATACATAAAATACATACATGATATATTTTTTTAAATACTTAGTTTTTTTTCGATAAATTAAATATACAATGCATTTTTTAAGTTGAAATTCAGGTTTAACTTGTATAATTATAAAGTCAAATATAATAAACGAACAAGATTGATTCTTAATATTTAATGGGTTGAGATTAAAAACAACTACAATGGCTATATTTTATGTATCCACTGAAAAGTCTTCTTAACAAGATTATTTTGTACTTTAGTCT